GGTGCCACGTATGCTTAAAGAAAGAAGATATTTATGTTGCTATAAGATTTGATTTAGGGTAATTGAATAGTTCACTAAATCTAATTTTTTTATTTTTTAATAAAATATTTTAATTAATATTATTTTAATAAAAAAACTAAGTTTTTTTAACCATCTAATAAATAATCTAATAATACAAACTTAAGATTAAAAAGTTTTGTTATGATCTTAAATTTAAGTTTTGTAGTTGCTAATACAATAATTATAAAAATTCATATTATTATAAAATTTAAAATTAATTAAAATATATATAAATTAACTTGGTATCGATTAAAAAAAACTAAGTTTTTCTCTAACCTGATTTAGGATTAGAATGGAATTCATTTATCGGGATATGCAATAATGTAAGTTCAGGTATTTATTTATCTACAACTTGAATGAAAAAAACAACAATTTAGATATAATACTCTACTTGGAAAAAAAATATAATGTAAAAGCTAGAAAAACAGATCACTTTACAGAAGAATAACAAACAAAAACCACGTTGGATTAATTAATTGGGATTCTAATTAAAATATAATCTCGTAATTTGGGAATACATGTGTACTTTACAGTCCATCTGGTCTCATTCTTTGTTTATTTGGCTGTGATCTGTGCCCAGAGGAATACAGAGCAAGAAAGCACACCTCGAGCATCATACAGCAGCAGGTTATGCGTATTCAAGAGTCAAAATCTGTAAATCGAGTCAACTCGTGTGAAGAAGACAAAGGAGGATGGAGGGCTTTTGGAAGGAAACGTTTAGAGAGGGTAGCCCATCGCCAGTCTCAGTCATGCATCCTTTCATAATTTTCAACGTAATTAATCTATTATTTCTGTCATTTTTCGATGGCCGAACGCTTGTTTTCTTCCATTGATGCAACGTGGCCCTCTCCACATCCTGAGAGAGACAGGTAACGGAGCTAAGAAGACAACCTGTTTTTAAAGACAATTTGGGTGTTAGAATATAATCAATAATTCAAGGGCTTAAATTCCATGATTATAATATTATTATTTAATCTTCGATTCCATAAATATCTAACA